GGTAAAGGAGTAGAATAAGCATGGCTCCTAACCCTGGCTTAGCTGCTTGTAGCTGCATAGGGTTCGCTATGTTTCTCAACTGTAAAACAAAATCAGTCTAAATGGGCTACCATGTGGAGTCAACAAACGTGCCCAACACCTGGTGGTTTCTGGTCTGTGGTTTGTACAGTAGACTTGTACTTGCTCCACAATTCTCTAAGTTAGCTGGCTGCTGTCCTCATCTGGATCTATTCATATCTCCGTAGCTGTCTTGTGCATCTGTAGCAGCAACTGGACAGCTTCGCTGTGAGGCTGAATCTTGGTGGACTGTCAGCTGGGGTCTTATCCTCCAGCAGGCTATCTGAGGTGTCTTCACATGGTAGTTGTTCCAAAACCTAAAGCAGCAAAAGGGAGCAAACCCCATTACAAAAACATTTTTTTTTTGTAAAGTTGTGCTTGAGTAGGTTCCCACTGGGGGAGCAAATGGCAAGGCTAGCCAAAGGTAGTAATGAGACAAAGGCAAATTTTATAGCTACCACAATCGGCAGTCACCACAATCACCGTCGCTCTAAACCTAGTGTTTGTTGAGCATTTAGTAGGTGCCAAAGGCTCTTTTGATGCATTGTCTTTATCAGAGACTGTAGTTCTAGTCTCAACCTTATGAGGCAGATATGTCTATGTCCGTATACTGTAGAGAAAGCAGCTGAGGTTCAGCATGGCACAGCGATGGTTTATCCAAGGAAGATCACACTGCTGGAAGGTGGGGCGAGCAGCTGGGATTTAAAGCGATGCTCTGAGCCTTCGTAAGTCTTGAGTACTGGTCTTCCTGCTCTGGATGGAACAGATGCCCAAGGCTCCTTCCTTTTCATAAGGGAGTCATCTGGTAATAGCCTGGTTTGGGAATGTTCCCTGATTGTTACTGTATGTACTACCTCTCTGACCACACTCCGCATTTTTCTAATCAATGTTTTGAATTTGGTTGTCGAAATTTGGTATGACTGGCTGCCTGGGGCTTGTTAACTCAGAGCGTTTTTGTGGGCCTTGGGGGTAGAGATAGCAGAAGGCTAGGCATGCATTCTTGGAGCTCTGCCTTCTATCTCTTTGTTCAAGTTTAAAGTGAGGTTAACATTTCTATTCTATTCTATTTTATTTTTTAATTAAAATATCTACATCATTTCTCCTCTGCAGTCCCCTCCATGTACCTCCTTTATCCCTCTCAAATTCATGCCCTCTTTCTCCTTCTGTGTGCATACCCACACACATACACATATGAATGTAAATATACAAACACAATCTGCTGAGTTCATTTAGTGTCTCCTGCATGTATTTGATCCCAAGACTGACTACCTGGTTATCCCAGGACAACCAGTGAAGGGGCTCCTCCTTAGGGAGACTAAATTCCCTGCTTCTAGCATTGCTTAGTGGTCTGTAGTTCTTTGTCTCGGGTGGGAGCCTGTGGGTTTCCCACCTGCACAGTAGCGTGTTTATTGCTGCTGCCCTTGTTTGGGTCTTGTTTAAGTAACCGTATTGTTGAGATATCACAGGTTGAAGCTTCCCTACCCTTCTAGGAGACAGAATCTCACAAACACAGAGTCCCAGTTCTCTGGGTTTTACAATCTTTCTAGCCCCCCTTTTTAAAATGCACCCTGAGATTTTGCTGCAGCACTTGTGTTGTAGGTGTATTTATTGGGGCTGGGCACCCCGTGATCAGTTGTTCTCTTCATTTTGACCAGTCGTGAGTGTCTATAACGGTCTCTCTCTGCTGAAAAGGGAAGCTTCTTTGATGAGGGAGGAGAATTACACTTATCTGTGGATATAAGGATGTTTAGAATCCATGCTGGTTTAGTAAAATGGCAGTAGTCGGTTCTTCTCTTAGATCCATGACCTCACTAGCCCCAGGTAGTTGACTAGGCTTCTAGTACCAGACGTGATTTCCCTCCTGTTGAGTAAGTCTTCAGTCTAATGAGACAGCTGTTGGTTGCTGCTACGATATCAATGCCACAGTTGCACCCTTAGGGATATTTTGCCATGCTGATCATTGTTAGTTCATGGGTACCACAGCAAGGGAAGACTGTTGGTTGCTTCCTTCCCTTGGTAGCTTGCGTAGCATGGGGTGCAGGCTTTTGAAATCACAGACTGGCTTTCTCTATCTACAGTCAGCAACAGCACAGGAAGACCACACGGAGGACACTTTGGAAAGGCTCCATGCATAACTATTGTGCAAATCTACACTCCTCTCCATAAACCACTGAGGGAAGAGCCATAGCCTACACACTACCAACAACCAGATATTGGCCAGATGTGATAATTAAAGAGAGGTAGGCGCTGGTACCAACCTGTAAAATCTTTTGCTCCACATGACAGCAGAGAAATTCTGCCCATATGATGCCTTGTGGGAAGCTCAGTGCTACTACACTGTCCAGGAGTTCAGGGAATGCTGTACCGTCACAGATATATATAAACTTCACTGATCTTTAAACAGTGTTTGATGAAGCCAATCTGGTACCTGAATCTGGCTCATAGCCATCACTTTGTGACCTGCCTATGTTGGGTACTTCATGGCCCTTCTCTATTGCATTGTAACTATCCTGAAGGCATGGCAAAGAGAAATTGGACAGGTGAAGATGGAATTGTAGACTGAGAGAAAGGATATCAAGAAAGTTGTGGATGTGGGTGGTAGTTCAGAGATTCCAACAAGATCAAGGAGCTGAAAATAAAAAAGTCTATTATAGTCAAACAAATTACATTGTACTACGCTTCACCTGTAGGCTAAGTGTTCCTTAGAAAACAAATTCTTTGTCAAATAATATGAGAAACACTCCAACATCCAATTAAGCAAAATGAAATAAATTTCTTTACAACATCTGTAATTGTCTTTAATATTCTGTTGGGCAGTATAAATCTCCAAAAGGGGCACTATTTACTGTGTTCAAGTTCCTGTGATCATGAAGTCTGTATGTGACGTCGTTCCTTCTCCATCTAAGGTTTTGAGAAAAACACATTGGAAAATCCAGAGAAAGGACTAAATGGACCACTAGGAATCTATGAAAGCATTATCATAGGAAGAGTTCATAAGGCAATGATTATGGGCACTGTAAGCCTGTAGGGCAGCTTGGCAAGAAATGGGGGTAGGCAACATATTAGCAACTGGGTACTGTCTGTTCATTTTTTTAAACAAAACATTTTTAGCCTCATTCCTCTTTTAAGAACAAACAAATACCAAGTGTCAAGGGGTGCTCCCTCTAAAGGATTAAAACAGTTCAGGCTTTCTTTTATCAGGCTGTCTGGCCTGCCTCAGTGCACACTTAACACCCTCCACTCTCTGCTCTCCACATCCCGCTCTATTTGCTGTTGACCGGACAGAGTCTGCGTTTTCCTAGCCTCATTACATGGAGTCTCTCCTGAATTACCTTCCCCACTTATTACAGTTAGAGTCACAACTGCTTTCCAAGATTCAGGCCAAACTCTGCGTTGCTTAGTGGAGCCTTTCTTAGTTCTCCCAAGAGATTCCTGTCCTTGAACTTCTGGACCATTTACTCTTGAAGAGCTTGAGTGGGACTTACTGTGGTATGCAGTGCCTGTGTGGTTTGTTATGTATGGCAGGGTGGCAATGGAGGTCGTAGTCCTTCTTTAAGAACATCAGCGTCTAGGAAAAGACAGACATTGAGAAGAAAGACCTACCCCGAGCTCTGTGTTTGCCAAGATGGGGTTAGGATAACATTGTCCAGTCACACACAAAGCACACTAATAACTACATCATGCTGAATAACACAGACTCTATTCTCCAGTTAACAGCCTCCCAGCATTCCTTGAGGAGGAGTGCATTCCCTCCTAGAGAGTTACCCAACAGTAATGCGTGCTGTTTCTTAACGCTGAGTCGGGTATGTTACATGAGTTTCCTTGGTGAATCCCACAGTGTCCCTAACAAGGGGTATTATTGACCCCACTTTACAGAAGAGGAACCTTTAAAACCTTTAAGTCACTTACTCATGTTCACAACCAGTTCTCTGGCCAGGCAAGGCAGAACCAGGTATCTATCCCCCGATACCTTACCTTGGAGTGCGGATGCAATCACAATACACCATTCATTTGGACATACTGGTCTCCGGAAGTTTACTGACAAAGAATAAAGCTAAGAATTCCCACTCTGACTCCAGTCGGCAAGGATGTATGAGCATGCAGAGTAGAAATCTAGATTATCCCGTTTGAGTGTTGTGGGGTTTGGGTTTATTGTAGGGTTTCATAAGGACCGAATACAGGGGTCTCTTAAGCAACAAAGTTAAGGTAAAATTCAGAGCATACAGAACCATGAAAGCACAGCTCATTGCAGGTCTGTGATCTCTGTATGATGAGGAACGGATTTGCCCAGTCTTGACTCAGTGATGGTGAAGAAATCAAAGCAAGCTGTTCCAAGTGTCATAATGAATTCATGGTAAAGTAGGCTTCCTTCCTCCTTTAGCAAGCTACAGATATCCTTTTCCATGTTGTTCACCTACTATCAGAAAGACTCCAACAGACTCCAGAACATTCCACACAACCCGACATCTCTCTGCAGTTTCCTTGAACTGTATATTACTCAGGACCCTCTAAAGCAATGTGAGGACACTGCAGTGCAAGCAGAATGTTTTACCCTTTTCACTGGCCTATGTTTTCTGCCATAGTGAATCACACAGAGCAGGGTCTACGCCCATGCGTGTGGAATGGCTACATTAAATGGGCAGAAGATGTGATTGAGGACCTGTTCTAATAAGATCATACTTGATGCACACAAGTGATCAAAGAAGGACTCAAAAAAAAAATGACAGAGCAGGAACCCTGGGCAGGGACTAACTGTATGTGGGAGACGAAGGAAGAGGAAGAGAAAAAGAGCATCGAAGACTTTGATGCTATTGATGGATGGGAAGAGTCTGCCCATGAGGGAAATCCTTCTCCATGACCCTTTCATCCTTTCTTCACTTTTGTTCATGGAGCAGGAATTCCCTATGGAAGTCAGATTGAAGCATAAATGGGGGCAGGCAGACATGGTCAGTCATACAGGAGAGTTCAAAAGGATGAGAGAAAGGTTTGTCCTTGTGGCTCTACTGAAGAGCGTTGTGGAGGAGGAGAAATTTGAGCTGAATGTATTTTTGGTTGGTGCAACCTTAAGTGCTCTGTTTGATAGCAGAGTTGTTTGAATGGCCTATTTCATAACTACACAAAGCTTCTCCAAACAGATGGCGTCTGCAGAGTGTCCAGGTTAATGCATGAGTGCAGAGCTCAAAGGTGTTTGTGCGGAGACCGACCGAGCCTTCTTTCTTCATAAGTCATCTTGGCATTTTGTCAACAAGTTAATTTGCTTTTCTAAGAAACTAGATTAATACTTCCTGTGCTTTGTGCTATTCGCAGATCTACAGTGCAGTGAGAAGAGGAGAAGAAGCAGAAGCTACGGTTGGATCTCTCCTGCACTGCTCCAGACAGCTCCCGACCTCCGAGACAGCCTGTGGAAGAATTAGAGACGGCCCACGCATAAAGCGATGTGTACGAGACACTGAGTGTGAGTTCCGTGCCACCCCCCAAAGGACATCCGTAGCTCAGTACATCACTGGCTCTCTTCTGGAGGCTACCACCTCTTTAGGAGCAAGAAGCGGCCTTCTCAGTACCTTCGGAGGATCCACTGGACGAGTAATGCTGAAAGGTAATGTCTGGAATTTTATTTTTAACTCTTCATATTTGTTTTGATAACCATTCAATATACAGCTGCTGATGGGAAATTGAGTCCACACAACAGAAACGTTAAGAAAACAAAGCAAAAGTAGCTGTTTTGTGTAAACAGAAAAATTAAATCCCTTAAGACTTCAACACATAGCAAGCACTAATTTTTAAAAGTTCTTTTTTTTTTTCAAAAATACTATGTGGCTGGAATTCTGTCATTATTTTTGCGTTTGTTTATTTTGAGTGTGAGGGTAGATGGGTGTGTGCACATATGTCACGATTTCATATCCAGAGGTCAGAGGACAACCTGTAGGATGGTGGCTCTCTCCTACTGTGGTTTGCAGAGGCTGAAGTCAGGGTTTCAGGCTTGGTGGCAAGCACCTTTACCACTGAGCCTCTCACTGGGCTTTTGAATCTTAAAAAAAAAAAATAATAATTATGCAGGTGGGTAGTTTCTCCAAGTAATAATCCATGAGAGACGTCAACTACTCTGACTAGATGCTAGTGAGTAAATATGATCACATGATTGCATTGAAAAGCAGCCATGCTTGAAGGCAGAGTGAAACGTTAATATTTTCACATATAGAACCAATAGGTTTCTGGCCACAAGAGAAGAAAAGAACGATTTTTCAACGTGTCTCATTGTAAAAGCCCAGAAAGGCAGACATAGCACAGAGAAATAGGAGCCAGTAGAAAATAGGGTCCCGAGCATCCAAACTTCCCTGTGTCTTCCCATGACACACAGACAAGTGGATCAGAAGTGGCAGTCACTAGAGAACCTCAGACACCCGCTCACGACACAGCTGTCACAAACTGTTGGCAACCTTCCCTGGCAGGAAGCGACCAGACAGACAGGGACCATGCAAGGTTGTGTTCCAGTGCCTGGGGACTGCCAAGAGCCCCATCTGACATCCGTCTGCTCTGTCACAGACCTTGTCCCTCCACAATGAGCCCTCAGACTGGGGTTAGCTGGTCAGTGACTTTGCTCCTTGATCTTTACCCTCTCCTTTCCACCATCACGCTCATCCTTACTATGCTGAAGAGGAACACCACTATCTGGTGTGCCATGTTGGAAGGTTTCCTGCCATCTCCTTAACTTCTGGACATCGGCTTCAAACGAGGAATAGACGGGAGACACACAGTGTGAGAACACTAATCTGAAACAGTAATATGGAGAAAGTTAGTGCCAGGTACACCTGCTGGCAAGGGAGTAAAGCCTCCCCTCGCCCTCACGGAACTTACACTGTCTGCACAGGAATCCTCTGCCGTCACATGATTGAAGGTTTCTCTGCTCTGATGTGGCCCCTGGACACTTGCAGGACATTTTCCTTGTGCTTCATGCATGGCAGGGCCTCATGAAAGAAAGTTCATGAACCCACACTCACCACATACCCATGCTGTACCCCACAGAGTGGAGGTGTTGCGGGAGACCCCACTGAAATGTCGCCAGTCAGCTTGATGGCCGTATACTTACAAGGAGGCAAGATCTGCATGCATGAAGTAATTAAAGACTATGTAATAATATGTAAAAGAATAATATTGTGTCGAGTTAAGTATCATGGAAGGAATGTAAAAGGCACCACATGTTCACAGGGTGGAGAAGTTAATCTGACAAATGACTTGGCCTGAAATAAAATCAAAGTCAATACAAACTACCTTATTTCCTCTTCCGGAATATCTAGGGCCCCAACTATGCTAGGGGTGCTAACGGTGTTCCAGAGACCTGTGAGAGCAAAAGCACTGGTTAGCGTACTTGTTGCCCTGTTAGTAACTTGTTTTGATTGCTGCTGTACTTTCTTGTTCAGAACAGCATCTCGCACATGGTTTCCCCTGGAGCTGCACTAGTCCATCAGCTGGTGTGAACGCTTTCAGCTGGTGTCGTAAGCAAGCGCTGGAGTTTAATTTTCAGTTTTGCAGCCTCTTAGTGGTTTCTAATACCTGTCAAATTAGTGTCTGCTAAATAATAATATTAGCGGGTTGATTTTTGCTCTGGGCTTATTTCTGTCATTTCTAGTTTGCAGCCTTGGAGGCAATTTCCACTGTGGTGCTCTCTTCCATGGGGTGTGCAAAGTTTCAAAGTGCCTTAGTTACATAGTGCTTCTTCAACATGCAGTGGGAAAATAATGCATCAAAAAGGGGGTTTATCATTACACACACACACACACACACACACACACACACACTGTCAGGTAAAACCATGTTAGCTAACTCAAACAGTGCGTGTATATTTCAAAACATTATATTGTAAACAGCCCATGCATGTAGTTTTTGTCAATTTTAATTTCCAAAGCAAAGCCAGCTTGGTCTACATAACGAGTTCCAGGCCAGTCATGGCTACATAGTGAGTCCCTGTCTCAAAATTTATATTTAGTTTAATTTAAAAATTAATATTTAAAGACTAAAGGCCAAACACGTGAGACTTCAAAGGCACGGGGTATCGTCAGGATCTGTAGGGTCCTCATGCGAAAAGCAGGTCTTGAACCACTAGGGGACCTGGAGGAAGGGGCTGGGTGCTATGCTTCAGTTGGCCACTTCTTTTGTTGTTCGGGTGTGTGTTCTGTGGCATGCGTTCGGTCAGTAGCTTTCAGTTGAGACTTGCTAATGAAAAGTTGCTCATAAGATCCCAGGCGTGATGGCGTGTAGGAGGCCTAGGCAGAAGGACGCTTAGTTTGAGACCAGCCTCAGCTCAACACAAGATCCTGCCTAAAATAAAACCAAGAAAGCAGAAGGAAGTTCTAAAGACCGTGTAACACATATTCTGTCTCCAGTTTCTAGCAGTTTACTTCTCAGGAGCTCTGTGGCCCTTCAGACTCTTTCTGAGAGAAGCCGCACTCAGTGTGGTTTGATTCCTAGGCTTGGTTCTCAGAATCCCTTCAACCTGCACCCAATAGAAATGTACTCTCTCTTCCGTGGGATGCAGAGAGTTGGTCTTCAACAGAGTGTGGGGTGGGAAACATGAGAAGTGGGTTAAATGGCATTTCCTGTCAAGGGGATATCATTTTCCTGGGAGATGAGATAGAAAGTGAAGTCTTTCCCTGGGCTTGGTGAAGAACTTTCAGTCGGTTCTGAGAGGTTAGTTGGTGGCAGCTCTCTTTCTTGATTATGGTTGATTGTACTCCGATGCTCATACCTGGATAGAGGAACCAAAAAATTACACCAGTTACAAAGAAGAAGAAGAAGAAGAAGAAGAAGAAGAAGAAGAAGAAGAAGAAGAAGAAGAAGAAGAAGAAGAAGGGGAAGGGGAAGGGGAAGGGGAAGGGGAAGGGGAAGGGGAAGGGGAAGGGGAAGGGGAAGGAGAAGAAAAGAAAAGAAAAGAAAAGAAAAGAAAGTAGAACAAAGTGGGAGAGATGGAAAAGCACAGATCTTTTCCCCAGAGAGAAAAGGGAAGGAAGAGGGTCAAAGGATGACCTCTCCAAGGGAGAATTCATGTTTGAAGTCTGTGAACATGAGCTGGGGGAGGTAGAGACAATGAAGGAGACAGAAAATTCCACTTGCGCGAGGCACATGATCTTGGCCAGGAGACAGAAAGTGGAATGGTGGCTATAGAAGTTGAGGCAACGGGGACATGGAGTTAGAGGGCACAGTTTCAGTTTCGCAAAAGGAACGTCCTGTAGATGGGTAGCAACGAGGCTATGTGACCGTATTTAACACCTGTGAGCTCCACTCAAAAAAGTTCTGCTCCAATTGAGAGCAACTGAGGTGGCTATGAGCAAGGTTTACCCTATGCTGATCTTCGCCCCCCCCCCCAGGTCTACATGAGTTTACAAAGAACCAAGCAATTCCTTTTGAAAGTGGCTTTGATTACAAATGGGTGTCGCAGCAACCTACCGGAAAAAATAGGGGGAGAGGCTGCCCAGAAGTTCCTCATCATGCCTAAGCCAAGGTGCTCACACGGGGCTCTGCAGGCTTCTAGTTTTGCCATAGCTTATGGGATGGGATGGAGGCAGTCGACACTTAGAGCATGATCGAAGCTGGCACGTTTTGTTGTTATTGGGGGGGGGGGGGAGATTGGCTTTTTGTTTGTTTTGTTTTTTGTTCTTTGGGTTTTTTGGGTTTTGTTGCTGTTGTTGTTTTTAAGATCACCTCAGATATCTATTAAGTTAAAAGTTTCCAAAATTCAGAGATATTGATGCACATGTGTATCTATGTATGAGCTTATACATGTGTGTGTGCAGGTGTACTTGCTTGCCTGTGTGTATGCACAGAGGCCAGAAGAAGGCATCAGGTGTCCCCTTCTGGCACTCCCCCCCCCATTTTCATTGAGGCAGAGTCTTTCCCTGAACCTGGGTCTTTCACTGTTTGAGCTAGGCTGGAAGCCAGCAAGTCCCAGCAACACTCCTGTCTCCAGACTTCTTCAGAGCCTGGGTGACAGGAGTGTTCTTTGTGTCGATTGTCACATGGGTACTGGGATCTGAACTCCAGTCCTCGTGATCTCACGGTGTGGTAGTTGGTTTTAGAGTCATCTTGCCTAGTCCCGTGGGAAGAGGAAGCCTCAGCTGAGGAGCTGCATCCCCCAGACTAGTCTCTGGGCATTTTCTTGATTGTTAATTGATGTGGGAGGGCTCAGCCCACTGAGGAGAGTGCCACCCCTGAGAAGGTGGTCCTGGATTGTATAAGAAAGCAAGCTGAGCAAGCCAAGAAGCAACATTCCTCCATGCTCCATGGTCTCTGCCTTGGTTCCTGACCCCAGGTTCCTGCTTTGGCTTTCCTCAGAGATAGACCATGATCCAGAAGTGTAAGTGAAGTCAGCTCTTCCCTCTGCAGGTTGTTTTTGATCCTGGTGCTTATCAGAGTAACAGAAAGCAAAACAATTTTCAGGATAAAATTGCTCCTAATTATTAGGCTGTCTCTCTCTGTCCCCTCAAGAGACACGTTCTTATATAAGGCATTGATCATCCAGATATACCCTTAATTGCAAGGGTTTGCTATCCCTACACGGGCAAGTGGACAGTAGGTACTCTTGATGGAGCAAGTGTTTGACAC